GAATTTTTTTTCTTGATTGTCTTATTCACTAGAAGAACTTAAGATGGCTTCTACTATCATCTCTATGGTAATATCCCTAACCTCTTTCTTCTGCTGCTTATTTGGATAATTGCAGATTTTTCATTAGGTTGTAATGAAGATTCAATGAGTTATTGTACATGAAGTACTTAAAACAATGACTGACATGAAGAAGGCATTCAGTAAATGTAAACTGTTACTTTCACTATTATTACTATTATTGTAACCTTACCATCAATATAATTAAAATAAATATTCTTATTTTAGAACCAAATTAGTTGTACTAGCATAAGATCCCATAAGCAGTTACCACTATTCTTTAAAACTCTCAAGGTAAAAAAAAATAATAATAATAAAGCAAAAATGAAAAATCTTCTAGATATTCACTACCTTCATAGAAGGTACTAATTTTTCTGTTTTTTTTTTTTTTTTTTTTTGTACTGGAAATATTACATCTATGGTATCTTATATAATTTAGATCCCAATACTTTGAAAGACACTTCTAAACTGGAATACATCCTGAAAGGTACAGAATCCAGATATCATGTCTTATGAAAAATCATATGAAAAATTGAGTAAATTTAGAGGAGAGGATAAAGGGGACACATGATTATAGTCTACTTTAAATAAAGGACTATTATTGTGGGATAAATACATCCTACAGTCTTTTGAAAAATCAGGCCAGGACCAATTTGTAAAATGTATTTTCTTTCAAGATGATAGTAATAACCAGTATTTATTGGGCAGCACCAAGCACTGTGCTAAATGCTTTACATACACCATGTCATGTAATCCTCAATCACTGTGCTGAACTGCTTCTCTAAGGGAAAGAAGTCACAGACCGTGTGCCCACTCTATGCCAGGTGTTGAGTGTATCATTATATCAGCTTCCTTCTTAAACAATTTTACTTGTAAATGTCATATGTAACCAACATAAATATTCAAACAACCCAAAGTTATATAATGTGAAACGAAAACAAGACAAAACCTCTTTCTCCATATTAACCTATGTGACAATTTGTACTCTTCCATAATTAAAAAAGTAATTATATCTGAAGCAATATAAACATAATATCTGAACATTGTAAATTTTTATTTAACAGCTTAATAAAAATGTAAAATGTATTTACAAAAGTAGATATGTTCTCCGCATAAAAAAGATAAGCTTGAAAGCTATATATGTTTATTCTGTCTATGTTGATATTTTGAGATATCTTTTGCCTTTGATTCTTGACAAGTAATTTTAGCAACTGAATAATCCATCAGTTTATAAATAGAGCAGATTAAATACGTAAAAGAGTAACAAGATAAACAAAATAGAATATATGTGTATAATTTCTCCTGCTTCTATTTTGCCTCTGGGTTCTCCATCATCCCCATTGACATTTTTTGCTGTGAAACCAGAATCTTCTCTATCTCTCTGTCTGCTTGCCACCCACTGAAAAAGCATAGCCTTGTAGAAAGAAGAAAACTTGGTATATTTGCCTGCCTGGTAAACATATCCACATTTACAAATGGGTATCCACGTGAAAAACTGTGTTATGTATTGCATTTCTTGATCATCTTTAATAGATTATAGTAATTGCTCTTTTTAAGCAAGCTCATAGAAGAATTTGTTTCTTATAAAAGCATGAAACAAAGTCATTCTCTATAAAATGACTTTTAATAAAAGAGCCAAAGAAAACAAAAATTTATGAGGACATAAACGGAGGAGCAATTTCAAATATAACTTTGCAGCATTTCACATCTATCCTCCTCCCTTTTCATTCTACACTTTCATTCCCACTGTTTTCATTTATTCTTAATCTGAATTACTATGAAATGCTTCAAACAATTTCTCTAATTCTAGTCCTTTTACCTGCTTCCAATACGCCATAACTGTCAATATTAACCCCCTTGTCAATATCCTGTCTGAAAAAATATTTTAAATTTTCCATTTATAACAGAACGAAGCCCAAACACTTTTGGGCATGATCTGGTAATGATACACCTTTTAATTTCTTTTAACCTGTTCTCTCTCATAGCCTTTTGCTCCAGCTAAACCAAGTAGTTTCTATTGTTCAAACTCCATACTTCTAAATCGTAGTTCCTTGGCTCACTCTGCCCCCTCTCCTTGGAATGACCTTTCACAAATATTTCTCTTGTGATCCAACCTATCTGTATCCAGAAAAGCTGGCAAATAGAAGTTTACTCCTAAGTAAGGAATTTATTTTTCTTGTGTAAAAACAAGTCCAGACATGACTGTCCAGTACTGGTAATATGATTTCACAGAACCATGGGGAGCCCGGGCTTTTTAGATTTTTATCTTCTGCCTCTTGCCTCATGTTCGCAAAATAACTGCTTCAACACCAATACCACATCTACATTCCAGGCAGGAAAAATTGAAAAGAGAAAACATCATAGGGTAGCTAACTCTATCTCCTTTGTAAAAAGTTCTCCATCCAGTGACTTCCAAATATATTTGATTGGCTAATAGTATATCACACACTAATCTTAGCTACAAGGGAAGTGGTGAAATATAGCTGATTACTAGTCATGTGCTTGCTTGAAGAAATCAATGTTGTATTAGTGAGGAAGGAAAATAAGATGAAATCAATATGTATTCAGCAGCATTGGTCATAGATCCTTTAAGACTTACTCAAATAGCCATCTTCTCTAAAGAAGTGTCCTGGAGCCTCTAAGACAACTATCAATGCCATTTGTACCTAGCTTTACTTTTGTTTACTTTCATAATTATCTCACTTTTCCTTATGGTCTGGAAATTCATGGTGATCTTTGTACCCTCTAGTCCAGCAGGCACAAAGAAGATACCTAGTATATATTTGAATGATAAGTTTAACCTTATATGTGATAAGAAAAAAGAGAACCATTTTCTATATTTAAGTATTGTTATAGTCCACTGTAGTAAAAGCATGACTTAGATAACTTGATCAAAGATGGGCAAACTACTGTCTGTGGGCCAAATATGGTCTACAATCTGTTTTTCTATAGCCCATGAGGTTGTATAAGAATGTACACATTCTTATAGTGTTTGAAAAAATAAAACAAGAATATGCAATAGCCTGAAATATGTCCTATTTGCCCTTTTACCAAAAAATATTTGCCAATTCCTGACTTAGATAAAAATTTACTACAGTTCTCCATTTTGTCCTGTGTGTCATGTGTTATTTTTTAAAAATGGTTATATTATCCCATACTTACTGGAATCCTCACTGTCCTTTGAAACCACTTATATGAGAAAAACTACTAGCATCTCCTTCTATCAGGAAACTAAACTCCCTACCCATTCCACAGAGAATCTGATATTTGGATTTCTCGAGAGCCCCTTACTCAAATCTGTGAGCTAAATGCCCAGGTTTGAACTCAATTTTATTTTTAATGATATTTTTAGGTAATAGTGCTCATCTATTGCTATATAGATTATTAAGAAAAAAGAGGTGGGAGTTCCCAAGTAGGAATAAGCTTGAAGCCCAATGAATGGTGTTTTCTCTTCATTATTGGATAACTTTAGAGTGATTGAGCTAAATGGAGAAAACAGTCTTTTTTTTTTTTTTTCCCATCTTGGCTGTGCTTCATAACCTGACTAAATTATTCAAGCTAATGATTTGAGTATATGTAAAACAATCAACTAAAATCTGCTTTATTTTAATGTTTTACAAAGTATTTTTAAGTTCTTTTAATAATGTATAAAGTCTTCTTATTTATAAGTTCAAGAAAGACAGGGAGCTATTTGTCTTGCTTGTCATTGAAACTTCCATTGTCTACTGCAGTGACTAGTACATAGAAGATACTTGTTGAGCAGTCACTGTACGTGTGTGTTTGTGTATTTATATGTATCCATGTATCTGCCTCCCTTTCATCCCAAGACAATGAAGTCTTGTTTCCATTGTCACATGTCACCTTCTATTAATGATGAGCTAATCGTAATATGAAAGAAGTTAAGAAGTTCTACTTCCAGATAAATTCTGCTTTTTCCATATAAATTCTATTTCTTCCATATAAGTTGAGAGTCCTGAAAAATAATATATGAAAAAAGTGAGATTTAGAACATCGACATGTTTACTGAAGGTGAAATGTGTCATCATTATTGGACTCAGAACCAACACCAAGGTGCTCAGCCCATAACACCATGGTGCCTCTCTTTCACTCGATTTCCTTTCCTGTAAATACTGCATGTTTTCAAGTTTGGTGGATTTCTTAATAAAAAGATCATGTATTCCCAAGTAAAGTGGAGGTTTGTGAAAGTACTCAGTAAAGGTTTAGAGTAAACTAACCAAAATATCAAGGCACACTCTACTGAATTAGAAAATTTCAGAAAACAAACCAAACGAGTTCCTTGCAGAGCCTAGAAACTTTTATATTGCTTTGAGAAAATGTACTATATATGTAAAAATAAATAAATAAATTACAGACTAGAAAAAGTACAACATACTGGATTATACTACCTCTAAAAATAAATAAATTACATTAGTAGTCCCCTTATTAGAAGAAGTTTTCTAATTTAGTGTCATAGAAGCGTTTTTTTTTTCTTTTCAAAAAGCCTGGGCAATTAGGCATCAGTTAAAATAACACAGGTATAATTATTAATGCTCTCAATTTGTGGATCATTCTTCACTCTTAAAAAATTCCAGAGCTTATATACAAAGTGCATATGTCATTGGTTCTAAACTTATCTAAAATGTCTGTGAGAGAAAACAAGAAATTCTTTTCATCTGGATCCTGATGCAGCACATTTATCTTATTGACTTTTAGTCACTGTATTTCTGTTTACAGTGTATGAAATACTCTCATCAGAACAAAGTTCCCGGCATTGATGAGTCAAACTGCAAACTGGCAGATAAGCAAAATAACTGAAGCCAGAGCCCACTTGAATTGTTCACACTCTTAGATGTCAAGTTCAGACTCGGTCTGCCGGGGATTTCTTTTAATACTGATTTGTCATAGCAGGTAGCTGACAAGATTTACCTGCAAGGACCAAAAACATGAATTGTGCCATCCAGAAGGCAGAAGTGCTGGATGGGGCTCATTTAATGCAGATCCTCTGGCATGACGGTGAAGAGTCCTTCTACCCAGCCGTGTGGCTGAGAGACAACTGCCAGTGCCCCAACTGCTACCTGGATTCTGCAAAAGCGCGAAAACTTCTCGTGGAAGCTCTTGATGTGAACATTGGTATTAAAGATTTGATGTTTGACAGAAAAAAGGTAATTATCTCTAAATCATTTCTCCCTTCTCTCCCAAGATAAAAGGGCTAGTCTCCAATAATTTAAATAATGAATTACTTTTTCACTTGATTGTATGTATTATGTTTGTATAGGTCTTGGTGCAAAGTAAGCATGATCAGTAAATGAAAGATTCTGTTATTACTATTTTTATTATTACTACTATTTTTAATAAAATTTACAGTGTTGCTCATTATTTCTTCAGTAAGTGAGAGCTTGAAGATACAATCAAACTATCTCAATAAAAAGAATGCTCTGGGCCTCAGAATATTCATCTGTAAAATAGGGATACTAACAGAATTTGTTCAGAAAGATAATGTGAGGATTCAATGAGATAATATGGGTAAAAATGTTTAACACAGTGCCTGGCATATAGTAAGCACTCAAGAACTTGTATTGATTTATATATTTGTTAGTCAAATTAGTGAATAGATGTGCAAGGCTTGTTCTAGAATGCCCCAAATCATAACTCTCAAAACCGCAAATTAGATGGGGCCACCACCCTGTGTTATTCCCAGATTTACTAGGATAGTTACCAGAAAAGTGAATGTGACCAGCAAGGTCATCCTCTCTCCACTCTTGTCTTCATCTCCCCTCCAGGACTTAACTCCCAGCATTCATGGCTTGCTAGTTATGTGACCATATAAATAGTATTTGCTCTCACTTTTCTCACCCAAGAAATGTGAAGAATAGTAGTACCTTCTCCCTAGAGTTGCATGAGGATTAATGAGTTATGTTTGTAGTGCTCATTGTACAGTATGCACTCAAGATGGTGTTATTTTGTGTTGTTGTTATTATTATTATCTGCCTGATCACCATCATTACTATTTCTGATATTCTTGGCAGGAATGTTAGGTAATATCTAACTTCAAATCATCACAGAAAGTTTGGGAACCAGAGGTTTAGAGGATAGAGAATTTCAGATCTAGCTAGGTGTTATTTCTTGTGTGATATTCAAGGGGCCTCAAATCTAAGATATATCCCCTAGACTTCCAATTTCTTTGTTTTCCAAAACCTTATTCTACACCTGTGAATACATAGGTTAAAATAGGAACAAAAATGGATTCCCTGATTATCTTAAATAACATTAACAGGATAATAGTAGAAAACTGAAATATATAGAAATATAATGTACATATACGTGATATTTGCTTTCTTGTTACAAGGTTCATATCACATGGCCAAATGAGCATTTCAGTGATTTTGAAGCTGACTGGCTGAAGAAAAGATGCTTTTCGCAGCATGCCAGAGAAAAACTCCGAAGAGAATTGTTTTTGCCAGGTAACTTTGCCATAGTCTTCAATGTCTTTTAAAATTCATGTGGTTAGAATTTGCTCAGAAGCAAATTCAAACCCTTGTGCTTGGTTAAAGTATTACGGTAATTTATGTAAAATGTTGAATGATCATTTGGATAGGAATGAAAAGAAATATAGACTAGTTCTAGACATTCTAGAGACAGAAAGAAAAGAAGTACAGCAAACTTTTTATCCTTGTCATATATTGGAAAACCTGGCACACCATAGATACTCTGTAAGTGTTGGCTGCAAAGGAGTAGAACAAACCAGAGTCAGACTTGCCATTCTTAATATTTTATCTAAGTCCAGTAAAACACTAAATCAACAAAGTGGGAATTCCTAACCTGGTACCCATAGATAAAATTATGTGATCCATGAACCCCATGAAATGATATACAGCATTGAGTATGTTTATGAGTGTGAGTGTGAGTGTGAGTGTGTGTGTGTGTACGCGCGCACATGAGCGCGTGCACATGTACACAGCAAATTTGCTTGAGGAGAGTTTATATGAGTCTCAGGGGAATATGTGACATTTTCAGAAAATCTACAATAGATGGATTTGATGGAAAAAGAAGACTTTATTCTTGAGTGGAAAGACAAAATAAAATAGTATAGGTAGAAAGTTCTTTTTAAAGTATGACTTTTAGGAGATACACAAATAATTACAGCTCGAGCAGAGGCACTAGAGAGAAGTTAGAACTGTTTATAATTCACTCTTTGTATTTTGAAGATTTGTGTTATAAGATTATGTGGGTCACAAGCAAATTCTAAAAACATGATAATTCTTACATATTTACTAGAATCTTGACTTCTACAAACACACTAACGAGATGAGTTTTCCTGAACTTTCTTTTCCACTGTTAATCAGAAATATTGGACCTCTGCTTCTTTGAGCAACTGACAAGCCTTATTGAATTTTGTAATGCCTCTCTGGGAATTCCGGGTCACACCCCAAGATAGAGATATTACCTTACTCCTTTCAAATCTGTAATTCTCAAACATGTGTGGTAACTCTCTGTGGTTTTAAATGCTAGTCTTACAACAGTTTACTGGGTACACTGATGTTATTGATCAACCAACTTGAACCACACAGCTTCACCTCGTCCTATGATTACCAGTAGGGTATGATATTGTCCCCTTCCAGTTCAAGTATAGGCCAGTCTGGTCAAGAACTTGGTTCCTCCACTCCGTTAGTCTCAACATCCTGACAACTGACAAGATTGTGTTCTAGTGCTTTCCGTCTAAACCATCAGGAATCCATTTTGCTCTTTATCTAGCCCAGCCAGCTGGTGGAATCCACATGGGTATCCAGGGGAACATGTTTTTCTGCCTTCCCACAGTGAGTGCACTGCTAGATTCTTCAAGGAGTCTTCAGTTACATAATTGAGTAGCAGCTGGGTCAAATAGCAGAATCACAAATGTATTATTATTTTTATTTATTTTAGATTTCTTCTAGTACTCAAAATATTTTTCCTTAGCTATGCCCTAATTTTGTAATCCTATCGGATTTTACTTTCATTTCCTTCAAGCTCTTCTTTTGATTATTTCAGGGAATAAAAGCCAACTTTTTATTATTACAGCTTAAGCTTTTAAGTATTGTAAAAGGATCTGGCCACTCCCTCCATTAATATTTCTTGATGAGTGCAGTTTATAGCTAGCATTTCTCAATACTATCAGGTAGTAGCAAAATGGAAATGATACTACACTCAGTTAAGTAATGGAAAAAACTAGTCACACTGACAAACTGCAATTGTGAATAATATAAGTAGAACTGGCTGCTATTTAGACACTGGAAAATATTTTAATGGTTTAAAACAAGATCAGATTTTCAAAATATATTCTCAAGCTGTGCAGTTGGTGTGTTAAAGAAGAAATTAATGGGCCATTTTGGAAGATTGCTTCTATGGCTTTTTGCCTGTAAAATTTGACACCTTATATCTTGCCATTGAATATGAACATGTAAACAAACTCAGTTACACTTGTGAAAGTATTTTGATTTCAGTCCTCAGTGAAAATGTTTCCTCTTCTGCTCTTTCCTTAGAATGAGAAAAGCCTTTTAAAATCTGGTGTCAAGATGCAGACAACTGTTCCTTGATCTTCCCTTGACACTAGATATTGAACTCAAAAATGAAAAGACTAATGATAATCAGATAGAAAAAAAAAAACTCTTGTATGGGACAGACACAGCTGGAAGGAAAACATGGATAATAATCATTTCTTCATAAATTTCTGCTTAGCTACACATGTATTGGTCACTTATTTCGTGCTGGAATCTCTATAAGGAAATACCAAGTTTAAAAAAGACATGGATTTTGTCTGTGAGGATTTATCAAGCCCAGGAGGGGACACTAGCCATGAAAACAAATAAATATAATACATTACTTTCAGTACATCACGGCATGCATAGAAGTGTAGTTATAACATAAAGGAAGGACTCTGAAGAGATAAGGAACTTGTCCTCAAAAGGGAGGTTTGAACTGGGTTTTGAAGAATCAGTTTGTCAGGCAAAGACAGAAAGTAAGGAAATTCTCAACAGAGAAAGGCATGTGGAAAATCACAGAAGTATAAATAGCAGGGTAGGTTTAGAAAACTGTAATTAGTTTAATACTGGTGAAGTGAAAATTGTTAGGCTACAGAGAAAAAGGAAGGGGCCAAACCATGAAGAGACTTCAGCGCCCTACTACGAGTCTCAGGCCTAAACCCTTACACAAGGACATTTTCCAACATAGAGCTCAGGCATATTCCTTTCTATTAGCTCCCAGGCTGATTGCATAAAGGCAGAGAAACAAGTTTAAATCTTTATAAATTTAAGGAGAAGATTGCTTTATTTTTTAGGATGTATGTTACATTTTCAGAAATTTGTATTTCTGATTTTGACCAAGGGCATAAATTTTTCAAATGCCTACAAGTTAGCTCCATTTTACTCCCTTTACATTTCTCCCCTCCTCCAGTATACCCTGTCAGTTCTTGGTTTGTATTTATTTTACAAAAGACGGTGAAGGGATTGGATGTGTGTTGTAGAAAGGTCTTGGTCTGGTCATCTGTGTTTGTTGGACAGGGAAAGACTATGAGAAGGGTGACCACAGCATGGCCCAGAAAAGATCCTATAAAAAACACTGAGATTAAAGTAGGGAAGTAGCAGAGAAGAAGTAGGTAAGATTTGTATTCAAGAGAAACACAGATTGACCTGTAGGACAGGAGGTTACTGGCCCTGTTCTTTAATCTTTACCAACTTAAAATCTAATTTTTTAAAACTACCATGTGAATGTACCCAAACATATGGGTGAAAATTGAACTCTTTAAGAACACTTTGGAAATATCAAGAGTTTGTTTTATGAAATTGTATTTTAGCTTCCATGTGAACATGATATAATTATACACTCATTTTTGTGACTAATTTCAATATGCAAAATTCCCATAATACAATCCATGAGAATGAAATGAAAAACTCAACATTCAATATGATCTTACATATATATATATGTAAAAATTTGTTCTTTTTAACACTCCATATCAGAATAAACGCTTGCTTTCCTATGTATCTCTTTGAATTGGTATTGAAATATTTGCATATTATCCTCTGATTTTAATAATATTTGTTTCTGCAAATTGGGATTTTAAAAATTGTAATTTGAAGAATATTTTTCCCATGGAAGCAGTCTGCTCTATCTTCTCAGCAATCTAGGGACTGAGTACATCGCACCATCAGAAAAGAACATTTCCTCTCAATTTGATATGTCCCTCTTACAGCGGAGTAAATCTTTTCTTGTCTACTTTATCAGATTATAACCCTTTAGTCCATAGCCCTAACCCCCTCCTTTGTTTCAAAAGAAACATGCCGGAAGAGGGAATGAAAACTCTCAAATAACTGTCAGAACCCTCTAAAATCTTTGAGCTTTGCATATAGAGAAAAAAACTGAGCTCCCCTTTCTTGCAGAGGGCCATGTGTTTCCTTGAAAATGAAAATTTTTATTGTAGTGCAAAAGCAGAGTTGTTTTGGTGCAGAGGCTATGCTTACAAAAAAAAAAAAAAGCAAAATATCACTGTTCTTTTTTTAATTACTAAGTAATGTACACAATAAATATGCCTAACTTCCATGTGATAGTTCACTCCTGTGTCTAAGCCTTCCCTCACCATACACCCATTCTCGAACCCCCAGAGGTGGGAGTCTGCAATATAAGGCAGGGATTGAGCAAGGGTATTTGTTTCACATATTGCTTGTTAATTATAAAAAGGTCTGAGAGGTTGTTGTTTTCAGGCTGTCTTAGAATGTCTCAACTGTATCAGGCCTGCCAGACCAGAATGACTTCAGAACAGCTCTGTTAAAAAAAGCTGCATCAGAACAATTAAGCCATCGTGTCGCATACCCAAATATATTATTCCCTTCCCAGGGAAAACTAAATACAGATTCCTTCCCTGAGGACATCCAGGCTCACTCTCTGATGCACAGGACGGAGAATAGCTCAAAGTCTTGTTATGTTTAAGAAACAAGTCTCTATTCTGTTTTTCCTATTATATGTGCAAAGGACCTAATGACTTCCAGAGAAATGTCTTTGGGATTTTGATAGAATGAATACTGGTGTTTTAAATGTCTGTGAGTTTAAAAATGCATATTTTGCTTCATTTTTCCTCTGTGTAATATTGATATCTTCCAGTGTCTTCTATTCTTTTCTGAATTACGTATCATTTATTATTATACTCAATTTCTACAACGTACTTGGTACACTTGGGCATACTATCTAAAGGTTCTAACATCCTAGATGAGATGGGACCACTCTTGCTCTGTCAATGAGCCTAATATGGAGGACCAACAGCCTGAGAATTGTCCTGTAGTGCCCTATACTCTTAATGGTTGTTACCTATCTGGAGGTTATTCCCACAGCTATCTGCCTAGTTTCTGATTTCACTTGTAAACTCTAGGTAAGATCTTCTTCCTTTTACCTTTTTAAATCTCCATCCATATTCCCAGCTTGAAAACACACATGC